AGATCTAGGTTTAGGATCTATCATATCAATAGAAGTGGAGGGCAACGACATGCTTGCAGTTTTTGAAGTACCAGTAAATTCACTATCAGTTCTAATCATAGGGAAGATATTTTCCAAAAATACAGCATCTCTATATTCATATATTGATTTATCATTCAAGCTCATGAACCTATATGCAAAACTATTTTGAGCATAATCAATGAAAACAAAATCAAAAGTTTTAGATCCAACCTAGGTTTTTTGAACCCTGGATATGCCACCTCTACGAAGTATCCCCACACCTTCAAGTAGCTCAAGTTTGGCAAATACCCTTTCCAGAGCTCGTATGGTGTCTTATCTAAGCCTTTTGTGAGGGACCCTGTTAAGAATAAAACATGAAGAAACTGCAGCTTCCCCCCACATATCATCAGATAAACCAGAACTTAATAGCATCACATTTATCATTTATTTTAAAGTTCTATTTTTCTGTTCAGCTATTTTGTTTCATTGAGGTGAATATGAAGCAGTAAATTCAAGTATAATTCCACTTGATTCACAAAAATCTCTAAGCGAATTATCACTATATTCACCACCCGTATATGATCTTATCTTTTTTATTTTTATATCTACTTGGTTTTCCACTTCAGCTTTGAATTTCAAAAACATACTACTAGCTTCATTTTTAGATTTTAGGAGATATATTTTCGTATATCTAAAAAGATCATCAACAAAAGAAATATATTATTTTTTTCCACCTCTGCTAGTTGTGTTTTCGAAATTAGCTAAATAAGAATGAATTCATTCTAGGAGTTCAGTACACCGTGCAGTGACAGGTTTAAATGGTTTTTTAGCAAACTTTGCTTCTACACAGACATGACATTTTGTAGTTTCAAGCAAATCAGAAGCATTAATTAAATTTAATATTCTAAGCCTTTTAATTGATGCAATATTCACATGCCCTAATTTACCATGCCACATATCAAGAGACTAAGCAGAACTAGAATTAGTTTCATTTGAAGAGGTAGCGTTGAGAACAAACAAACCATCTGCCAAATAACCTTTAACAACAAAGTCACCATTTTTGGTATAATAATTGTATCGGCCTTAAACACAATCCTAAGTCCGGCTCGGTTCAGTAGACCTCCTTACACCAAATTCCTACACAGGGAAGGAATATACAGCACATTATTTAATGATAAAGTTTTGCCAGATGTGAGTTCTAAGAGAACCTTCCCTTTCCCAAGTACTTCAGCTGTGGCAGAGTTTCCTACAAAAATACATTCACCATCAGCGGAGTCCTGAAAGTCATGGAAGAGGTCACGATTCGAGCAGGAATGTCTGGACACTCCTGTGTCAAGAATCCAGTTGGATTTGTTCTCTACCAGATTTGCTTCCACAACCACAGTGTCAATGATGTCATCTGTTTTTGTAAGGCTGGCTTGTGGAGTAGCCCTTTGATCTTCCCTATCTTTTCTCTAGGTGCACTGATAGGATTTGTGCCCGGGTTTTCCACAGACATAGTAGACCAGTTTGGATTTCTCGATTCTTCCACCAGTATTTTTAGGTTGGAGACCTTTGTTCTTTTGAGCTCTATCCCTTACAATTTGCTTCCCTTTGTTCTTGAACCTGTCTTTGGAAGCACTAGAAACCTCATTGAAAACCATCTCCCATGGCCCACCCTCGTGCCCAATCTAAGTTCAGTGTGATATGATATTTGACAAATAGGAAAAGTTAGCCATTAAGTGAAGTGGAAAATTTTTCTACTCTATAAATGGAAAAGTGAACTTCATGCAACAAAGGTTAACAACATTTTTGCCCCATGTAACAATTTAAATCCTGATGAAAGATTGCATCTAGATATTTATTTTTATTATATAACAATTTAATATTAGTAATTTATAAATACATCTGGTCCCTTGTCCATCTATCAACCGACATATAAGAAACATTATTCAAATATTAAAAATATTTATCGTGATAGAGACTAAATTATTACAAACATTTAACTAAAAAGATTAAATTGTTAGACATTTAAATATTGACGATATTTATCATAATAGAGACTAAATCGTTAGAAAGACTAAATCGTCAGATATTAAAATTCATGGAATAATTTATTATCAATTTAGAGTACCTTGACTAAACATTTCAAACTAAATCCACCAAAGTTGTTCTACCTATAAGAAAAAAGAATTGTTAGGGATTGAGAAGAGATCTTATCCATTAGTCTGTTGGCTTCCTCCATGCGCACGTAACTAATCAGTTTTTGCAGAGTAAGATCCTTCTTATGTTTCAGGTGGTTTCGATAATCACTCCAAGAATGAGGGAATTTCTCGAACAACACATTAGCATGAAGAATCTCGCACATCTTCATGTTGTCTTTTTGGCCTTAACTTCAAATTAATTAATTTTAATTAATTAATTAATTAATTAATGTTTTGATGATAACAAATTTAATTTTATTTATTGACATTTTTTGTATTTTAAAGTGTCCACAGTGTAGAGCTCGTTACAACGATTCCAATGACTGTTAGATCATCCAAATCGGAGCTCAAACGGAGAAGTTACGATCGAAACAAATTGGAAGGAAAAATACCCGAAAAGATGACCTGGACAGTTCATAAGCTAACAAGTGACAAGATTCTTTTTAAAAAAATATATATATATTGAAAAAGAAAATAAAAAGATAAAAAAAAATTAATCACTTCACATTAAATGCAGTGTCGGTATTTAAAAAAAAATAAAAAATTTGAAAAGTTTACCGTTTTCTCACATATATATATATATATATATATTATAATATATATATATAATTAAAAAAAACTTGTCACATCAACTGTCACATCTCTGTTTTATATATATATATATATATATATATATATATATATATATTATTCTATATATATTATTCTTAATTTATTTTTTTTTAAAATTATCTCAACCCTTCATTCTTAATGATTAAGATCTAATGGTTTAAAATTAAATTTGAGTTTTTTACCATTTTCTTCCCTCTATTTAAACTAAACTTCTCATTCAAAATTATACAACAATTCTCTTATTCTCAATCCTCCATAACTTCAAAATTTTCATTTTGCTAATCTCTCCAAATTCTTAATTTTTTTTTCCATCTTATTTGTGAGAGAAATTTTATTGTTGTGAGGATTGAAATTTTTGTGAGCTCAAATTTGTATATTTACTCTATTTGAGAGTTTGTAAGTGTGTATTTCAAAATCTTCAACTCATTGTAATGGTGTGATCCTCACCGTGGAGAGGATCATCTTTGCTCTTGTGAAGAGCAGTGTACCGGTTTGACTCCTACCGTGGAAAGAGTCAAAATTTCAATTTACAACCCAAGAGGTGCTTGGGAAGTGGAGTAGGACAGTTGTGCCGAATCACTATAAAAATTCCCGGTGTCAAATTTCTCTAACCCTCTCTCTTATTTATTTTTGCAATTAATCTTAAAATTTGATTGTTTGCTTTAAATTTCTCTTGTTTGCCTTAGAATTTATTTTATCTTCTCAAAAAGTGTATTATTTTGGACCTTCGCAGATCAGATAATATTTTGCTTGGCTACACCAACTTTCATACATCCACGTATCCACCAATTCTTCTGAAAAGAAAGTCAGGCCCAAGTTGGAGGATGATGTCGCACGTGTGGGCCTTCGTCTTGGCTTACCTCACACAAAGTTTATAAAACCACTACACAAGCAATGCTTATAAACCAACTTCTCAAATGTTATGCTTCCGATGTGGGACAAAAGCAGGTTTTAATATTTGTCATTCCCAACATTTAGTACAGTTTAAACATGGTTTTGGTTACTTTTGCACTAAAAATACATTATTCTAGGCACGTGTAAGCAACTTAGAAGCAAAAGACACTAGTTTATGAATGTATGGAGGTGAGTCAGACATGTTTAGTACACTTTAAAAATGTTTTTTTATTACTTAAGCACTAAAAATTCATTTTAGCACGTCTGAGCTACTTAGGAGAAAAAGTTACTAGTCTTGGAGTGTGTTCCGAGTCGAAAAGCGTACCGATAGTATAGCTTTAAATTATAAATTTTTTTTTTATAAAATAATTGAACCAACTAAAGTATAGCTCAAGAGATAAGGCATTAATAATCCTTACTGTAGCTTTAGATTTAGAATCTTTACTGTAGCTTTAAATTTAGAATCACCACCCATAATTGTGATGAAATATAAGGTCCTATTTATTTATAAGGAATCAGAATGAAAAATCAATAGGAATGAAATCAAGCAGAATGAAAATGTTATTCCTTTCATGTTGTTTACTATAAATTTTATGGAATCAGAATAAGAAATTGTTTGATGTTGTTTAGTAAAACCGACTGAAATCGAAATAGAAATAAGATATATAATAATGACTAATTATAGCACTTTCTTATCTCTAACTAATTACAATTACATTATTGTACTAATTTTTTTAATTAAAATAATACTACATTTTAATTTATTTTATTACTATTTTAATTGATAGTAAATATTTTTTATTATAATATTTTATTTAATATTAACATATAATAATTAAAAAAAACTTGGATTCAAATAGTTTTTTTTAGAACAACCATCATTTAAGGTAAAATATTATAATTTTATTGTTCTAATATTTAATAATAATCAATTCTGTTTTAAAAAGTGTATTGATGTTAATTAATAATAGCAGACAAAATAAAAAAAATTAAATAGAAAAATGTAATATGTTATAATAAAATCACACCAAAATGTAAATTTTTATTAGTAGTATAAAAAAATGAAAACATAAAAATGTAAAAAACTTAATTCAACGGTTATTCGTCGCATCAATAAATGAGACAGAAAGAGTAAACGTTGTAAAGTAATTATTATAAAGGTGTGTAATCCACAAATAGAGAATAACTACATTTTTGTCCAATAACTTTAATTAAAGCAACTTAATCAACCTTTACTACTATGACCTATCCACTAAGATAATCTTTAATACTCAAATGGCAATGAACAAAAGGCTATTCATTTAATCAATGTTAATCTCAAAAGTTCAAATTCTCACAATCTGAACAAATAATCAAATTAGAGCTCTTAAAATTGTAAACAAACAACTTTCCAGCGTTCTTTATATAGGAATCTAAACAAGCAAATTAGTTAACCAAGCAACAACTCGCACTAGAAAGTAACACTCTAACCATCCTATTCAAAAAGAAAATAAATAACGTAGCACTAAATATGGTCTCTCCGGTCAAGTCTCTTCCTTGCCATCACCGTTTCCGTGAGTGACCTCGTTACCTGCAAAATCTGGAGGGAAAAAGAAGGGGTGAGTACAATCACAGTACCTAGTAAGCAGTCCATACTTGAAGGTCATGCACAAACAACATGCTTCACAAAAAGGTTCAAACGACATGTTTATCAATTCATTATGCTTTCCATAATAAGAGAATAAAGACATATATCTAAACATGCAACCTACATGTCATACCCATCCTCACATCTCAACTCACTGGTTTTCTTTCCTGTTTCTCCATGACTTTCACTTGTAAGTCGTACCGGCCCCTGACCACACATAGGCAAGGCGTCAACACTTCTCTAAACTCACTAGTTTTCATTACAGGACTTATTCCTTCGAGTTGTACCGACCCCTAACCATGCATAGCCAAGGCATCGACACTTCTCTAAACTCACTAGTTCTCTTTCCATTGTCCCCAATACTTACTCCTTCGAGTCGTACCGACCACTGACCACGCATAGCCAAGGCATCGACACTTCTCTATAGCGCTTGGCATTCGACCCTTGACCATGCATAGCCAAGGCCTCGAACTGTCGCATTGACCCCTAACCATGCATAGTTAAGGCATCAATGGCTTTGCAAGCTATTGGCCCTTGTCCTTCTCTCTCAACGCTCCAATACTTGCCTTCCACTAATACTCACTGCGCCAACCCTTAACCAGGCATACTTAAGGCCTCGACACTCATCCTTATCCAAAATAGGCATATCGATCCCCGACCTTTGTACCTGGAGCCTCGACACCCAACTAGTGACGTATCAGCCCCCTGACCCTGATACTCACTCATTCACTTCATTACAAAACCAGACTCTTACCAGAGTCCTACTACATGCTTCCTAGGCCATGACCCATACAACACTCAACTCACAATAAATCCAGCATGCTTCCAGAACCAAAAACAGTAAGCTAATAATGAAACGACATGTCCAACATGCATGCACAACATAATAGATTTCTCCCACATTATTTCAGTATGCTTTTATGAACACAACCATACAACAATAAAACCATTCATAATTCATAATGCTTTCATAGATACCGCTAAGCATCAAATCCAACAACGCAAAGGAAATCAGTTATAAACAACCATCACCAACATTATTTCATCCAAACTACTCATAATTATTAGCAAATATTCACAAAGAGACAATAAACTTACATATTCATAAATAATAAACACATGAAAAGCACCAAACAATTCATACGTATTCAAACAACAAACATCCCCCAAGTAAAAACTACTTACTATCAAGGTCCTAATGTGCTACTAAGCTCGCCGAACGGTTCCTAAATCCAAAACAACCAAACTCAAGTTAGAGTTCCTCTAAAAATGCTTAATTTGAATCGAAACAAAGTTTTGGTGAATCGTTACCTACTAACTCACGCTAAAACCTCTTGGGTTAGAAATGCATCGACGCCAAGGAGGTTTGGGCTTCCAAATCCAAGTTCGAAAGACTTCGCGCTTGCTGGTCCGTTATCGAAAAGCAATCGGTAACGTCTATTTGGATCCGAATAGGGTGGGTAACTCAAATGTAGTCCCGTTTGGGTATGGGTAACTCGAAACCAACTC